TGGCCTAATAGTGATGATGTCATCGAGGATGGGACAAAATTTCATAAAGTTGAGGCCAAAGGGCAAACGAGCACAGACAATAACCCTTAGACAGGAAATGAAACCCCGGTCATCATTACTGCTACATCTTCATTTGCTTGAATTTAAACATCAAAAGATACCGGAACTGCACCCTTAACACACTACAGACGATTCATCACAGCAAGTTATGCTAAATGATTTCTGATTGGACACCCCCCCCCCCCCCCCCCCAGCTCACCTCTGGCGAGGGCTCCTGCTAAGAGCGGTGCCTGCTGAGCACAGTCTCCCATCCTCACCTTCAGAGCTGCACACAGCTGATCGTAACACGTGAAATAGATCACAGTGGCTGGTACGGCCATCACGCTAGAAACAAGAGAAACGTTACAGGCAGATGTTTAGAAATCCAGGGGCAGCTTTTTACAAAACGGTGCTCGTTTATCCTCACAGTGTTGGAGGCAGGCCACTCCATAAGGAGCGAATCCCTTCACAGCGAACTATTTTGTAGAATGCATCCTGCAGAGTGGAGATGGTGCATATCTGAAACATCTTTCAGCATGTCTAACGTATCACTGTAACCAGTTAAAGACGTGTACAAATCTTACAAAGGTGCCACTGAAGGGGCCGATAGCCCGGGACCAGCCGTTTTCACACACACATACGTGGTCCATAAGTCCGTTGCAGTAGACAAAACATTTCCCTAAATTTTAAGAAGAAACAAAAATAAAATATAAATATTCTCCATAGATTTTGCGGTCATGTACAGAGTGGATCCATTTCACCTTTCAGGAGGGGACTTTTCTGTGCTTGGAGTCTGATCTTTATAACATCCAAAGGTGTGACTGAAACAACAAACAAGCAACAACACAGCATGAGCTTCATGGGTTTTATTCAACGATGGTAATATTAAGTTCTCCCGCGCATAAATAGTTAACACAGCAGGCCGGTTAGAGAAAAACCATAATCGATGGCCAAGTGACAGATCAGAGCCAGCTAAAATACAAGAATTTAAAAGAGGAGCTTAATAAGCAAATAACCACAAATTAAGGACACAAAGTATGAAGTGTACCAAATCTCGTCTAGAACTGACTTCATAGGATCTCCATTACTTTATGTTAAAGGTAGGTGTCCAAGATCAAGAGGTGTAATCGGAATATCTCACCAAGCAGAGATGTAAGGAGGGCTCCGGAGCAGGAAGCCACCATCTGCTGCAGAGGAGTAATGCCATTGCTGGCAGGAGGAGCAGGACTTTGACCACTCATGCTGTCCCCTAAAGACATAAAATACAATATAACACCAGATGTAATCCTATGTAATAATCAATTAACATGCGTGCAACAGTTTGATAAGACAAATATGATTGATCTCCAGCTTGGTTTCGAATATGAAAAATGTACACAACACGAGCACTCTGACCTTGGTCAGCTTATTAGTTTAGCTAATCAACCTGCTAAAACATCCAGCAGTAACGGTGTTTCCTATTGACAGAATCATTATTATGCCACTCAGCACTTTAAAGTAATGTAGTAGCTGTTTCCGACAAACACCAGTCTAACACGTGTGTTAGGTCATGGCTAGCTTGACTGTGTTTACACCACCGTTTACACCAATGCTGCAAGATGACGTAAGATGGTTATTGCACCTCAGCACATTCGTGATATTTGTCATCTACTTTAATTTAGAAGTAATAAATATAATTCCAAACTATACTAACACATCCAAGCCTTCAAAAATTGGCATTAAAAGTTTCTGTAAGTTTATATATTTAATTTTTTTCTCCAGGCATCGAAACGTCACAAACCAGCGACAAGAGTTGATTTACTTGTCTCTGACGTTGCCAGATTTGAACATACAGCGTTGGATGGCAAAACCTCAACGTTTAAAAGTATAGATAGGGAATTCAAATATTCAAATATTAATATTCTATAAAGCCACAGTTTAATGGATTATAACAAACCGTTCAGGTTATATAGTTTTGAAAAGTTTATATGTTCATTTATTTGCGTGCAAGCTAATTAGATTTTCACTTGATGAGCGTCAGACCTGGCATCCAGCTCCGGATTTTAAAAGCGGGAACTGGGACGTTGAAAGAAACGACGAAATTAAAGTTTACAGAAGGTGGTTTAAAAGTTATTTTACTGCGTGTTGGAGATACAATTTAATGATATGTAATATGAAATTAAGTAAATTCAGTTTTTAAGAGTTTTACTTGAACGTAAAACGACATGACACGGAGGTAGACTTGTATTTCCGCTTCATAAGTGAGGCTGGACCTGGACGTAAAGTTCGTACAAAAGCTAACTAAATAGGAAGCCCAGCCTCTTAACGCAGTCATCGGTGCGTTTATTTGTTTCTCCGGTTTTGTTTTTGTTTCCGGTTTGTTTGTAAACGACTCGTTTGATTACAAGCAGCGAGCTGATGGGGACTTCATGGGGTAGAGTCAAGACTCATCTGTTTTCTCGATGAAAGAGAATAGAATGAAACCGAAACGCGCTCACAACCATGCAGGACCCGACTGGCAAGGTGTGTATGTTTATTTATTACAATGTAATCACTGTGGTTTTAAATGTGTTATTCTGTATTTAAAGTGCGTTATTGTGCACATTTTTAAAAACATTCAACGTACCTTCTGTTTTGTGGTTTAATATATTTTTTGTTTAACATTTTTCAAGACTTCCTGTAAAAACCCAACAGCAGCAACACTCAACCAAACTCCAGGTTATATATATATATATATATATATATATATATATATATATATATATAATATATATATATATATATAAAATATATATATATATATATATATATATATATATATATATATATATATATATATATATATATAATATTACTATTGCATTTTAAGCCATAGTTAGGAGAGATTAAAATTTAGCTGGAATAAATAGATCGAATCTGTTTCCAGTAGGGCTGCACGATATAAGGAAAACCTACGATATTCGATAACAATGATTAATATTGTGATGACAATCTTATTTGCGATAAATAAAAACTCAACTCAGGAACAAAAATAATCAAAAATAAAAATTCAAAAAATCATTAAAATGAGAAAAGCAAAAGATGTGAGGAAAGGGAAAAAGAAATAAAAAAGAAAAGGGACTCACTGGATCCCGGGAAAAGCTGAATCAGCAAAAAGAGCTAATGAAGCTAACTCAGGTGTTTGCTAACCATCAAAATTAAGGGCCGTCCGCTTCGGGGCGGGCATCTGACCTATGAGAATCCACCCAAATGGCCAAATGGGTGAAAAGCTATTTTTGATTTGTTAAATAAAAACAAACATAATACTTCCGTTTGACTATCACAATGCATTATGTGTAGCAAATATTTGAGCTGACCATTCATTGCGATATTTAGCTGTTCTTTGCGATGTGCATATTGTGCATACTGATATCGCGATAACGATATATTTACGATATATTGTACAGCCCTAGTTTCCAGCAGGTTTATCTCAACTTGGAGCTGTTATTCCTCAGGAAAAATCAAGTATTTTGTTTTTTTTTAAGTGTAATCTATACCTCCAGTGAAACTAGCTTATCAACCATTTTATAACCTGTAACTTTGTAATGTTCTTCATCAGGTAAAGTCGTAAACACAGGAGAAACGAGGACTGTGAGCAAGGCAAAGACAACATCAGCACAAGTCAGACCCTTCACAGGCAAAGTGTTTTACCTGGACCTGCAATCTAACAGAACCACTGAAACTTTGGAGAGCGACATTAAAGAACTGGGAGGGGTAAGCACACATGCATGTGGGTCTCAGACACAGTTACTTTGTGTTTCATGTAACAGAGCAGATCATGTTTATTTCTACTGACAATAACAGTCTTAATCCTGCTAACTCCATCAAAGGTTTCTCTAAGGTCCGCAGTGTATGAGCGTAGTTTTAGTTTTCATTTAGAATTAACTGTCCATACAACCAGACCTTGTTCACAACATTACACGTGAAATGGGAGAAGGCTGTAGTGAATCTTTTCTGTTTTTAAAGGTAACTACAATCTTTAAATGGTAACAGATAATCTCCTATTCATTCAGTGTCTTAATTAGAAACTATGTGGAATAAAAAATGTAAATATTGTAATAAATCTGATCAGCCTGTTGTCGTGACACAGAGAAAGCTTTTCTCCAGTAATAATATCACATCTGTTGTTGTTTTCATTTAGACCGTTGAGAAGTTCTTAAGCAAGGAAATTAAGTATCTGGTGTCTAACAAGCGAGAGGCGAAGTATGTTCACTGCCTCCGACAGGACTCTCCTGTCCCCAGCCCCGACTCAGGGCCGAGTTCACCGCACCCTCAGTCCGCACCGCAGCATCCTGTCAACCATGTGGACAAATTCAAAACCAGGCCTCAGAGCCAGGCAGACACAGTGAGTTTGAAATCTTTTTTAACTTTATAAATAAATGAGTTTTAATTCATCTTTTTCGGGTGCGGTTTTACAGCTGGCCAAAAGCCGAGGGAAGTCTTTAGTGGAGAAAGTGGTGAAAGGACAGGTTAGTAACGCCGTCACGAGTCACCATCCTAATGGTCTTAATGTGCTAATATTAAGGTTATTTTCAGGGGAGGGTACAAATGGACAGAATCCTGTCTAATGCATTGGAGTGGGGCGTTAAAGTCCTTTATATAGATGGTGAGTTAAACTGTGCTTCAGTTTTATTTGTCTAATATGTTGTGTTTTCTGTGCATTGATTTATAAATGTTTGTTTTTTATGGCAGATGTATTAGCATACGTTCAGAAGAAAAAAAACCTCATCCGCAGCCGAGTTCCAGACGCTGCTGCCGCCGAAGTGCGAGTACGTTTTAGAAACGACGAGACCTGATTTTGGGATTCATTCTAACTTTTAAAGATGTGTTTTCTGTCTTTTCTAATAGAACAAACCTGAATCATCTGCCAAACAAAACTTGCAAAAGTTGAAAGGTAACTTTTCTTCTGAATGATGGTGGATGTTTTTAAACTTATGTAGATTTTATTTTAGGACACCTTTCTTATTGCTCTTTATGCTCAGAATCAGAAAAGGGTAGAAAGCCTTCTCCGGGTCAGGGATGAGGTCCTGCCCCAAGTGGAGGAGTTTAAGTATCTCGGGGTCACGAGTGAGGGAAAACTGGAGCGTGAGATCGATAGGTGGATTGGTGCTGCATCTGCAGTGATGCGGGCGTTGTACCGGTCTGTCGTGGTGAAGAGAGAACTGAGTCAGAAGGCGAAGCTCTCGGTTTACCGGTGGATCTACGTTCCTACCCTCACCTATGGTCACGAGCTTTGGGTAATGACCGAAAGAACGAGATTGCGGACACAAGCGGCCGAAATGAGTTTTCTCCAAAGAGTGGCTGGGCTCTCCCTTAGAGATAGGGTGAGAAGCTCGGTCATCCGGAAGGAGCTCGGAGTAGACCCGCTGCTCCTCCACCTCGAGAGGAGCCAGTTGAGGTGGCTCGGGCATCTGGTCAGGATGCCTCCTGGACGCCTCCCTGGTGAGGTTTTCCGGGCACGTCCAACCGGGAGGAGACCTAAAGGTAGACCCAGGACACACTGGAGGGACTATGTCTCTCACCTGGCCAGGGAACGCCTTGGGATTCCCCCGGAGGAGCTGGCCCAAGTGGCTGGGGAGAGGGAGGTCTGGGCCTCTCGACTTAGGCTACTGCCCCCGCGACCCGACTCCGGATAAGCGGATGAAAATGGATGGATGGATGGATGGATGGATGATCGGGTGATGAATGGATGGATGGATGGGTGGGTGGATGATCGGGTGATGGGTGGATGGATGGATGGATGGATGGATGATCGGGTGATGGATGGATGGGTGGATGGATGGATGGATGATCGGGTGATGGATGGATGCATGGATGGATGGATGGATGGATGGATGGATGGATGGATGGATGATCGGGTGATGGATGGGTGGATGGATGGATGATCGGGTGATGGATGGATGCATGGATGGATGATCGGGTGATGGATGGATGGATGCATGGATGGATGGATGGATGGATGGATGATCGGGTGATGGATGGGTGGATGGATGGATGCATGGATGGATGGATGGATGGATGGATGATCGGGTGATGGATGGATGGATGGATGGATGGGTGGGTGGATGATCGGGTGATGGGTGGGTGGATGATCGGGTGATGGGTGGATGGATGGATGGATGGATGATCGGGTGATGGATGGATGGGTGGATGGATGGATGGATGGATGGATGATCGGGTGATGGATGGGTGGATGGATGGATGCATGGATGGATGGATGGATGGATGGATGATCGGGTGATGGATGGATGCATGGATGGATGGATGGATGATCGGGTGATGGATGCATGGATGGATGGATGGATGGATGGATGGATGATCGGGTGATGGATGGGTGGATGGATGGATGCATGGATGGATGATCGGGTGATGGATGGATGAATGGATGGATGGATGGATGGATGGGTGGATGGATGGATGCATGGATGGATGGGTGGATGGATGGATGGATGGATGGATGGATGCATGGATGGATGGATGGCTGCATGGATGGATGCATGGATGGATGGATGGGTGGATGGATGCATGGATGGATGCATGGATGGATGGATGGGTGGATGCATGGATGGATGGGTGGATGCATGGATGGATGGATGCATGGATGGATGGATCCATGGATGGATGGATGCATGGATGGATGGATGGATGCATGGATGGATGGATGCATGGATGGATGGATCCATGGATGGATGGATGCATGGATGGATGGATGGATGCATGGATGGTTGGATGGATGGGTGGATGCATGGATGGATGGATGGATGCATGGATGGATGGGTGGATGGATGGATGGATGGATGCATGGATGGATGGATCCATGGATGGATGGATGCATGGATGGATGGATGGATGCATGGATGGTTGGATGCATGGATGGATGGATCCATGGATGGATGGATGGATGCATGGATGGTTGGATGGATGGGTGGATGCATGGATGGATGGATGCATGGATGGATGCATGGATGGATGCATGGATGGATGGATGGGTGGATGCATGGATGGATGGGTGGATGCATGGATGGATGGATGCATGGATGGATGGATCCATGGATGGATGCATGGATGGATGGATGGATGCATGGATGGATGGATGCATGGGTGGATGGATGCATGGGTGGATGGATCCATGGATGGATGGATGCATGGATGGATGGATGGATGCATGGATGGTTGGATGGATGGGTGGATGCATGGATGGATGGATGGATGCATGGATGGATGGATGGATGCATGGATGGTTGGATGGATGGGTGGATGCATGGATGGATGGATGGATGCATGGATGGATGGATGCATGGATGGATGGATGGATGCATGGATGGATGGATCCATGGATGGATGGATGCATGGATGGATGGATGGATGCATGGATGGTTGGATGGATGGGTGGATGCATGGATGGATGGATGGATGCATGGATGGATGGGTGGATGGATAGATGGATCCATGGATGGATGGATGCATGGATGGATGGATGGATGCATGGATGGATGCATGGATGGATGGATGGATGCATGGATGGATGGATGCATGGATGGATGGATGCATGGATGGATGGGTGGATGCATGGATGGATGGATGGATGCATGGATGGATGGGTGGATGCATGGATGGATGGATCCATGGATGGATGGATGCATGGATGGATGGATGGATGGATGGATGGATGGATGCTCAGAATTGTGATGTTTGTTTCAGGGGGTCGGATCAGGAAACCTTTCATCAAAGTTGAGGATTCAAGCAAGTAAGACAGCAGCTAACAGAAGCTAACGTTTATCCATCGTCCCAAAAGAGCTGGCATAAATGGTGCCTCCGTTGTTTTCAGGCATTATCGTCCGATTTACCTCACAATGACAAACATGCCTGAGTTCAACCTGAAGACTAAAGCTCCCTGCAGTCCTTTCTCTCCCGTGGACAAAGATCCTCCTGGAGACAAACCACAGGGACACAGGTACTTCAGCTGTTCTTCATCACCTTCTCACATCATTATTGAGCTAACACAAACGCGTTGCCTTTCCTCAACTTCATCTCACATCGGGAGCTGAATTCTTGTTTTGTGTTCGACCAAATTAAATTTCTCTGACTCTGGAGTGTTTTAAACCACGAAGCTGGACTCATCATTATCCTGATTTGTTAACCCCGATGGAGCAGAGGCGGGAAAGCTTCAGCCAGCGAGGAGAAAGCTCAAGGCCGAAAGAAGAACAGAGACAAGAAACGAGGTGGCTACTGCGAGTGCTGCAAGATCAAATACAGCAACTTCAAAACGGTACGGCTAAAATGTTCTGGTTCAGCTGAAGCTTGTTGCATTCTTATATTCGAATTATGCAGCTCATCGCTGTTGATATGTAGTTACATTTAATGCTAGTGAGTGACAAATGAGCACATTTGGAATTAAAGTCATAATTTTACGAGTCCAAACGTGAAGTTTTATTCTCATGATGCATTTTGTAAAATCTAAATGATGAAATGTACATTAGACGGATAAACAGCCAAACATGCTTTTAGCCTCTGGGATGAAATAAACGCACGCCTCGATGGTTAATGTAATCATGGAAACAATGCTCGCTGATGACGAATGTCTTCACATAGTTCCTCTGTTCATGCTGTTTGTTTACAGTGAGGAGTTTATCTGTAGGGAAGATAAAACAAACTTTGTGACCGTGTTTAGGTGCTTGTGAGAGAACACCGTGCACTCGGTGGCCCTCCACAGACAGCTGTAATCATCTATTATTTAACGGAGTAATTTTTGTTCAGCATCTGCAGAGTGAGTGTCACAGGGCTTTCTCTAAGACGGATGAATACTCCGTTGTGGACAGGCTGGTTTCTGCGTTGCACTTCGATTTCATTCCCATCAGAACTAAAGTCAAAAGGTATTTTATTTCCACGTAGCAAAAACTATTTAATCAGACTGGTTGTTAATGCATGTAATTAACTTTTGTTTTTCTCATCAGGCCAAAGTGCAGCGTTTCCTCTCCTGTTTTTGTTGCTAGACCAAGTGGGGAAACTGATAAAAGTGCTCCAGGAGGTCTCAGTCATTTGGAGAGGACTGTTGAGCCTCGGGCTGCCGGTGCGTCCGGGGGAATGAAAATCAAAAACGATTCCTCGCCTGCCTCTGCTCCTCCGATCGTTTCAAAGAGAGACTGCTGGAACTGCAACACCTACTCAAACAGACCCAAACACAGATCGCCTTCATGTAAACAAACATTCAGACAGAAGTCTTCGACTTGTGCCCAGACAGCCAAGCAAGTTCAGATTCCTCAGTTAAAATCTGAAACGTCGCCCTCTAGAGGTGAATTTCAGGTCACATCTCCTCTCGAAGACTCTGTGGTCCACCCGGTAGACCGAATCCCCCGTAAAGGCACAAAAAGCCCACCCTCTTTCCTACAGACGACCATAGAGAGCGACGTTTTGACTAAAAGCATCAATGTTGGGACACAGCCTAAAGGTACTAACACCGATGAGTCTTGTCATGGGTCAAATACGTTCTCAGAGACTGGAAATAATCGGTCTGACGAGGAAGAAGCACGCCTTAAAACACCAGATTCCTCTTTAGTCAGGAGGATCCAGCGGAAGATCCGTGTTTACAAGCACAAAAGACGGAAAGTGGACGTAAACATTCAGCGTGTAGAGTCGAGCGATGTTCCTGAAAACTCTCTGCTGAAGCTGTGGGATCTTTTCCAGTCCAGTGATGACATGGATGTTGAGTTTTATGGCTTTGAAGACTAAAAACTCACAAAAATGAAGGGAGAAACTGGACTTTCTGAGTCAAATCTTAGGTTTAACCCATTTGGACAAAAATAGAAACGTTCATAAAGTCTTGGAAAAACTATGGGGAGATACATGAACGATAATAAGAAAAGCCATATTAATTCCATTTGTAAGCTACTATTTGTGTTAAAAACGTCTGTGAGAACATCAGAAATTGTTAAGGGTTTAAAATGCATCAGGTTCAGATAATCGGCAGCTTTTCTTTTGCACAATTAAAACCATAAAACAAAGTAAATTGTCGCATGTTGGTTTGTGGCCATAAAATGTTGGACACGCTTAATTCCCAATTTGTGGGCCATTTATTTGCTATTTTAACTAAAATGATTTGCATAACTTTATCAAAATAAACAAATTCAAAGAGCTTTTGGGATATTTGATGAATCTAAATTATGGTAAATAAAGTATAAACTTTTTAATCTGGAGATCATTTTATCTTTTCCCCCCTCAATAATGCTTTTGTTTAACCTTAGTCATTTAAAAAGGATTTTGTATAACTGGCATTTTAACGCCTCCCCCTGGGCTGTCACCTTACTGTGGTGGAGGGGTTTGAGTGTCTCAGTGATCCTAGGAGCTAAGTTGCCTCAGGCTTTCTGCCCCTGGTAGGGTCGCCCATGGCAAACAGGTCCTAGGTGAGGGATCAGAGAAAGAGCAGCCCAAAGACCTCATGATGAGTTATATAAATGGAAACCGTGTTCCCTCGCCCGGATGTGGGTCACTGGGGCCCCCCTCTGGAGCCAGGCCTGGAGGTGGGGCACGTTGGTGAGCGCCTGGTGGCCGGGCTTTCACCCATGGAGCCCGGCTGGGCACAGCCCGAAGAGGAAACGTGGGTCCCCCTTCCCATGGGCTCATCACTAGTGGTAGGGGCCAAAGGGGTCGGGTGCAGTGTGTGACGGGTGGTAGTCGAGGACGAGGACCTTGGCGGCCTGATCCACGGCTACAGAAGTTGGCTCTTGGCACATGGATTGTCACCTCTCTGGTGGGGAAGGAGCCTGAGTTGGTGTGTGAGGTTGAGAGGTTCCGACTAGATATAGTTGGACTCACCTCAACGCATGGCTCTGGCTCTGGAACCAGTTTCCTTGAGAGGGGTTGGACTTTCTACCACTCTGGAGTTGCTCCCACTGAGAGGCGCCAAGCAGGGGTGGGCATACTAGTTGCCCCCCATCTTGGTGCCTGTACGTTGGGGTTTACCCCAGTGAATGAGAGGGTAGCCTCCCTCTGCCTACGTGTGGGGGGGCGGGTTCTGACTGTGGTCTGTGCTTAAGCACCAAACTACAGTTCAGACTACCCACCCTTTTTGGAGACCTTGGAGGGGGTGCTGGAAAGCGCTCCTTCCGGTGACTCCCTCATTCTGCTGGGGAACTTAAACGCTCACGACTCACGTGGGCAACAACAGTGAGACCTGGAGAGGTGTGGTTGGGAGGAACGGCCCCCCCTGATCTGAATTCGAGTGGTGTTTTGTTATTGGACTTCTGTGCCAGTCATGGATTGTCCATAATGAACACCATGTTCAGACATAAAGGTGTCCGTATGTGCTCTTGGCACCAGGATACCTTAGGCCGCAGCTCGATGATCGACTTTGTTGTTGTTTTGTCTGACCAGCGGCCGCATGTCTTGGACACTCGGGTGAAGAGAGGGGCGGAGCTGTCAACTGACCACTATCTGGTGGTGAGTTGGCTCAGATGGTGGGGGAGGATGCAGGTCAGACCAGGCAGGCCCAAACGTATCGCAAGGGTCTGCTGGGAACATCTGGCAGAGTCTCCTGTCCGAAGGAGCTTCAATTCCCGCCTCCGACAGAACTTCCAAAATGTTCCGGGAGAGGCGGGGGACATTGAGTCTGAATGGACCCTGTTCCGTGCCTCCATTGTTGAGGCGGCCGACCAGAGCTGTGGTCGCAGGATCGTCGGTGCCTGTCGTGGTGGCAACCCCCGAACCCGCTGGTGGATACCGGCGGTTAGGGATGCTGTCAAGCTGAAGAAAGAGTCCTATCAGGTCTTTTTGGCCTGTGGGACTCCAGAGGCCGCTGACGGGTACCGGCAGTCCAAGCGGAACGCAGCTCGGGTGGTTGCCAAGGCAAAAACCCGGGCATGGGAGGAGTTCGGTGAGACCATGGAGCAAGACTTCCGTATGGCTTTGAGGAGATTCTGGTCCACCAACTGGCGCCTCGGGGGGGGGGGGAAAGCAGTGCGCTAACACTATCTATAGTAGGGATGGAGTGCTGCTGACCTCTACTCAGGACGTTGTGGATCGGTGGGCAGAATACTTCGAAGACCTCCTCAATCCCACCAACACGTCTTCCAGTAAGGAAGCAGAGTCTGGGGACTTTGGGTTGGCCTCTCAAATCTCTGGTGCTGAGGTCACTGAGGTGGTTAAAAAGCTCCTCTGTGGCAAGGCTCCGGGGGTGGATGAGATCCGCCCGGAGTTCCTCAAGGCTCTGGATGTTGTGGGGCTGTGTTGGCTGATGCGGCTCTGCAATATCGCGTGGACATCGGGGCAGTCCCACTGGATTGGCAGACCGGGGTGGTGGTCCCCTTATTTAAAAAGGGGGACCACAACTACAGGGGGATCACACTCCTGAGCCTTCCTGGTAAGGTCTATTCAGGGGTTCTGGAGAGGAGGGTCCGTCGGATTGTTGAACCTCAGATTCAGGAGGAGCAATGTGGTTTTCGTCCTGGCCGTTGAACACTGGACCAGCTCTATACCCTTAGGGGGGTCCTGGAGGGTGCGTGGGAATTTGCCCAACCAGTCTACATGTGTTTGTGGATTTGGAGAAGGCGTTTGACCGTGTCCCTTGGGGGGCCCTGTGGGGGGTACTCCGGGAGTATGGGGTACCAGGCCCTCTGATACGGGCTGTTAGGTCCCTGTATGACTAGGTTTTTGGGTTTCAACCACCCATGTATTTCATGTTGCTTTGTTCCACAAATTTTGCTGCTTTGTTATGTATAAAATTACACATTATGGTTTTATCACATGCTCTGTTAAGGCATGAATCTCTACAACAATGGACATAATTTACTTAATTGATTTCGTGAGAGGCTCGGGTAACTTTAACAACAAAAACAATAACATGAATAAGTGAAGCACACACACACACACACACACACACACACACACACACCTCATTGTGTTATTGCAGCTTTAATGTGAGGAAAAGTGTCATAATGTCCTGGTGACAGTGCCATGCAAATTGCATCGAGTCAGTGACTCGAAGCACCTGCTGGGTTACTTTTACTGACCGGTTTAATGGACTGAACTGGATGTTTACAGCGTGAAGTGTTTTGAGTCGACGCTTGTCCTGATTTGGCGCAATATAAATAAACTGAATTGAAAACAATTATTAAATCATTGATGCGTTCGTGCATGGGGGATGGGACTTGGCAGCTGAAGTGAGTGAGTCATGATCAGGCAGGTTTGTGCAGGAGCTTTTATTCCTGCTCCGTTCGGCGGAAGCTCGGGCCCGCTCACTCTCCTCCGTCCTGCCTCATATTTATGCATTAGGCGTTTCTGCAGTGAGCCGCTGCTCTGTGAGGAGGTGTCCCCGCTCCTCCCTCTCCGTCTCCCGTCCTCCCCCTCCCTTCCCTGCGTCCTCCGTGCTGCTGGATCCGAGGGGTGCGCTCAGACGCGCTCTGCGTTCAGACTCGCAGCAGGCACCCCGATGGCCCGCCGTCAGAGGGACTGCACGAACCAGACGATCCGCCCCGGCTCCAGGCTCCCCTAGCGAAGGCTGAGCCCCGAGAGCCTCCTGCTGGAACACACCGCCTTGTTTTAGTTTCCTACCAGAGGGAGAAAGGTGCGGATGATGCTGAGGATGCGCCCCAGATGGTGGATTTCCCTATTGTGCGTCTGTGGATGGATGCACGTCGGGTTTCAGAGCATCCCAGACGCTCTAAATGGTAACTAACACTGTTGTCGGTGTTTTATTATTCATTTTTACTCAGATGAATGGCAACACTTTCATTTAACAGGCCTGTGTTGTGTTTATTTCTACTAAATAACGCACGCAGCCTGTAGCCGTTTTGTGTTATCAAAGGAAACGGAACCGATCGACACCTCAGACGGGGGTCGTTTGCAATGCAAGTGTCTTTCCTGGTCCGTGCACGCAAGGAAGTCGCTGTTTACCCCTCTCCGTGTGCAGGAGACGCCTCGTCGAGCTGGAAGGCTCTCCGTGGTGCGGGCAGGCTCGTGAGGAAGGAGGACACGGTGCCGCTCCGCCTGCTGTACGACAGCCGGGACCAGGTAACCCACGATGAGCTCAGCACCAGGGTTAAGGCCAGACCTGGATCCACGCAGGTACACACGCACGCACACGGACGCACGCACGCACACACACACACACACACACACACACACAGCGTGTGTGATCTGGAAGGCTGCCTTCTTGGACGCGTCTTTTGTTTTCAGATTGTTCTTCATCATCTCCTCTGCTTGTTTTCAGGGGTGGATGAAGAACACAACATTCTAATATTTAGACAGGAGCAGGCCTCACTAATGCTGTGTGCTAAATGGGTCATCTCTTCATAACTTAAAAGACACACACACGCACACACACACACACACACACACACTGTCCTACATAAATAGCTTTTTTTTTATCACTTTTTTGGGATGGATCTCATAACTTCTCCCTCAGGTTCTGGATAATTAGTAAAGCTTCTAGTCTTCTGGTGCAGGTTTTTAGTTCCAGCAAATCAGGGAATTAAATCCTTGGTACATTTTAAAAAAAGTGTAAATTAGCAGCAACATGAATTCCTCCACAAGAGGGAGCTGAAAACTTTGTTTTTAACTGAAAGTCTCCAGACTCTAGACGACACAAACAGATTAGATGTTCAAATATCTGTTTCTGTAAGAGATTCTAGATGCGGGACCATTAAACTGTTTACATATTTACAACAGTTAGATCCTGGATGTTTATTCGGGTGAGAAATGATCTTCATCCGGGAATTTGAATGTAAATATTAGAATTTTCACTTGGAAGTTTAGGTGTAAAACTAACCGCAGTTTAGAAACGGATCATAGCAACAGTCAGGCGTGGTCTGGGAAAAGTAATTTTGAATGGTTATTTCTGATTCTAACGGGTCACTCTGAGCGTTTCATGCAGGCTCAACGTAAAAATAGTCTCCTACACCTATCTCCTGCAGTAGCTTCTGATAGAAAACAGACGGTGAAACTCTAGGATTAGAAAATCCCGACAGATCTACGTCACCCTGTCACCAACATTCATGGACTCACCCATCTGGACTCACGACGGGGAAGGCTGTTGTTGGTTTAGCGTCCAGGAAACAGCAGAGAACGTCTCAGCTAGTAGAAGCTAACCGTTAGCATTAGAAACCCCACCACACAGCAGAACTCCTCCAGACTTGTGTTATTTGTGGAGATAAAACATCAACTGCAGAGCAGACAGAGTCAGAGGTAGAGTCGTGTTGCTGTTAGCCAATCAGAGGAGAGATGTCTGAATATCAGGAAGTAAGACTGCTCAGCTCTGATCTGGCATTCTGCTAGTTCCTGAAACAGACGCATCTGAGCTTATTTTCCCCTGAGTACGACTTTCAAGGCATTCGTTCCTACTAGAGACCCCTGCAGACATATTGGCTGAATGAGCATCCCACTCCTTTTAGAGTTGGGGTTAATTACTTTTCACACTGTGTCAAGTTGGTTTGGATAAGTTTTGTTTCCTTAATAAATTAAATCATCACTTGAAAAACTGCATTTTGGATTTTCTCAGGTCATTTAGGTTACATTTAGATTTTTGATCAGTAGAAAAAATAAAATTAATATCTTCCATTCAGTCAGCCAAATAAACATACTCGATTTGAGTATGAGGGGCGACGGTGGCACAGGAGTTAAGAGCTCGCTCCGTAATCGGAAGGTTGCAGGTTTGAGCCCTGCTCAGTCTGTCGCTGTCGTTGTGTCCTTGGGCAAGACACTTAACCATGGACGTAATTTTGGGGGGTGGACAGGGGGGACATGTCCCCCCCACTTTTTCCAAAGTCAAGTTTTGACCCCTGCACTTTTTACCATCCAAAAACAATATTACGCTATATTAAACTGACACTGGTTGAGCTCTAGGACCAAGCGGAAAACAACCATTTGTGTTGAAGCCTGTTTCCCATCAGAGCATACTGTAAAGATACCCCCCTCCCTCCCTGTCCCCCCCCCCCCCCCACCTCTAAAGCAAAAATGACGTCCATGCACTTAACCCACGTTGCCTGCTGGTGGTGGTCGGAGGGACCGGTGGCGCCAGTGCTCGGCAGCCTCACCTCTGTCAGTGCGCCCCAGGGCAGCTGTGGCTACATTGTAGCTCATCCCCACCAGTGAGTGTGAATGGGTGAATGACTGATTGTGTTGTAAGGCACCTTGGGGGGTTCCAGGACTCTAGACGGCGCTGTATCAAATACAGGCCATTTACCATTTGAGCTTTTAAACCAGAGTTTGCTCGCAGCAGAGCACTTTTATATGTAGTGTAGAGAGACACATCATGTGATGTATTTAATTTATTTCTAATTTTTCAAAGTTTAGATAATTTTCCATGTGATGTGAAAATTTAAATGATAAAAAGTTATTTAAATAAATTTGCATACTGTGAATAATTAACAGATTTTCTTGTCATGATTTTAAATCAGCTTTAAAAAATAATTTTAAAATTTAGGTCCACTTCAAGAAAAATACCAATTTATGTGTTTTCCTTTTTGTTTGTTTTTGTATTTTGTGTTTATTTATAGTGGGAGTTGTATTGTAATAATAGTTATTTTAACATTAAAGTCTTAGATTTTTCCCCCAGTAAACTTCAGTGCATGATCCAATCACCTAAAGGCACTAAAACCAGCCCCAACCAATGACTGACAAACGTCAGACAGCAGGAATTAGTCGTTAGATCTCACGCTGCAGACGTGTTCTGACTCTAAACTGTACAATCAGAGAGAGAAACCGTCTTTGATCAGACGTGCGCCGAGCCGTTTCTTCTCCAGAGGACTGGAACCTGCGACGCCACTTTTACACAAAGTTTGATCAGCGATTGGCTGTTTTTAGATTAATGGACTAAAAACAAATCTGTCAAATGTTTCCTGAAATGTGACACGGGAAGTTATTTATAGGCTCGTGTTGCGTCGTCTATTTTCAGACACAAACACGACTGAATGAGCAGCAGCAGGGTGGAGTTCAGTAAAGCCACGGTGCTGTTTTAGCGGGATGGGGCAGAGCTCCTGCCTCCGTCGTAGAGCTTTGATAGCACTTCCAGTCGGATGATGCTGAGGGAAACGTCGGGTCAGCTGGAGTCAGAAATCAATGTAAGAAGATTCAGTGGTGGTTTCTTAACGATGGCTCAGCTCTGTTAAGATGGGATCTGCTGTCATTTGGCACATTTCCTGCTACTTCCTCCAAGCACGGATCCAATCTGCCAGACTGAATTTCATTACAAGCTTTGGATTTGCATGCGCTCACACGTGCACCAGATCTTAACTGCTCATAAATGCATTGATCATGTTCAGACATGCGCCAGCAAACAACAGAGCGCACGGTCACTGGGGAAATCTGGGGCCGAGGTCATTGATGAGTGAGCACTGGGGGGCACTTCCTGAAACAGCTGAAACCCCGCCCCCCTCTCCTCGTTATCCTGCAGGCTGGAGGGGGAGGGTAGATGTGTTTGAGGTCAGCTTCAGGAGTCTTCTGGACCAACAGGAATTACAGATGGGCGTTCTTATTGACCCAACGGCGGTGTAATAAAGCCTGCACCATATGAGCCCGCACCTGGAATGAATCCGATCCTGCTCCGTCTGAACCAATCAGAGAGAAGGAATGAGTTTATTGGTGTGCAGATGGACTTCCAGAGACCAACATCCTAACTCGATAAGCTCACGAGCTTTGAAACTTAAATATTGATCTATGCAATTAGAGTTCATGTATGAATGAGATGAATGAATGGCTTAATGTCACCATCCTCTCTGAATTTACAGCTGTAGTCAAATAAAAATGAATCTTTATGACTTTTCATGCTGATTTGTACTGAAAAAACAAGCCAAACATGACAAAGGTCTAATTCAGGGGTGCCCAGTGTTGGTCTGGGAGGTCTGGTATCAAGCATGTTTGAGTTTTAACCCCGCTTCAACACACCTGATTTCAATCAGCAGATGATTAGCAGCCTTCTACAGAGCCCACTGAGCTGCTGTGCTTGTGATTCAACCACCGAATCAAGTGTGCTGGAGCAGAGAAACCCCTAAAACGTGCTGGATAGTGGCCCTCCAGCCACAGGAGTGGGCACCCTGATATGTCTACCTTTAGTGGTAACTGGTTTGTCTGTCTCTCTGGACATTTAGGTGGACCACGTGGCCCAGGCAAGCTTCCAAGTTGATGCTTTTGGAAGAAAATTCATTTTGGATGTGGAACTGAATCAGTGAGTATGCAATGATATTAATTCTGACTAGCTGCTTTCTTGGTTATTCGAATTCATTCATTCATTCATCAGCCTTTTTGTGTTTGTGTGCAGATTTAAACCTTTTTTGCCCTGATTTTAACACAGAAGTGGGTTTAATTTCACCAAAACAATCATTTCACCATGTAATGGTACAAATGTTGTGAAGCACTGTGTAGCTTTTGCCTGTGAAAGGTGCTATACTGACTTACTAATCGTAGAAAACTCAGTCTTACATTAATGGCTCAAATAATTCTGTCAAGGAAAAACTGAACAGCTAGAGCAGAATTTAGTTGGTGCCGTTGTTCGTAAGCTATATTTCCTTCTTCTCCCTGGAGTGTTTTTTATGACTTGTTTTGTAGGAATACATGGAGCACATACATAAAAAAATCAATTAAAAACTTCAGTTATAAAAAAAGAAGTGCCTGTACTGCCTATCGATGAGTACCAGCCCACTAAAGCACCGTGTAGATATAAACCATAAAATACATTCAGCATTTGGAGAAAAACACAAAATCAAATGTCTTTAAAAACTAAAATCATTAACTGTGTGTGTGTGTGTGTGTGTGTGTGTGTGTGTGTGTGTGTGTGTGTCTGCAGCAGGTCACTCATTGTATGTTGGAGTGTTTGTGTGATTTAGAGGCTCCATCATAACAGGAGGTGATTTACGATAAAGGCTTTAGAGCTGCTCTGTCAGACGCTGATATTGATCACAGCTGTGCTGGTGGAAAACTAGCTCCTCATTTCCTCCATCCCTCCTCTCCGTTCGCCTCAACCTCTGTTCTTGTTGACACAATCTTCTCTGTGCCACTTTTCCCAGACTCATCAAGTCACATCCTGTGTAAAAATGCTGCAACTTGTCACATGCAGCCATGCTCTCCTGTATCCGTGTCCCAGTCGGGATACAGGATCCACCTACTCGGTGAAAGCGTTCATCTGAGAAATTCACAGATTTAAAATAATATTGTTTAAGCTAGCGCTTCAGCATTGATCTCAGTGATTGTTGAGTTAGAAACTTGACCAGTTTCATATCTGTAAAGCCTGCAGCTCACTGAGTGATGTTTTGGCCAGATAATGTGTCACACCCATACTCACTCACTCACTCACTCACTCACTCACTCACTCACTCACTCACTCACTCACTCACTCGTGTGTGCACGCACACACACACACGCACACACTCCCAGCTCATCTCAGCCGTCACCTGACACCACATTGTAATTGTAAAATTCTCATCATGAATGTGTAAGTTGTTTAAAGGTGCATTATGGAAGTTTGACAGCCAAAACATGTATAGAAATAATAAATGTCTTCTTCATACATTCTCCTGCAATGCCCTGGTCCTGTAGAATGAGCCCTGGCATTTTTACTGGGATTCTCTGTTTTTCTGTAAAATCACAGAAAAAGAGAGATGCTCGGGTCGAGCAGGCTGCTTCATGCGCGTTCACGCTCAGGCATCGCCCGTAGCATTTGCTATCCGTAGCTTTAGCAGCAGAGAGAGAGGCAGTGCCACTTTGTCGCTGTTCCTAACGCCTAGTGACAAAGCTAGCTACATTTCTGAGGACCCTTAGCTACTTTCTGTAGAACTTTCTTCTAGATATTTCCTGCTAATTAGCAACAAAATAGCCGTTTTCGCTCCGAAACTTTTTTGAACGTTGTTTCAGCTGTCATCAAGGATATAAATGTTACAGATACAAAAGATGTTACTGGCGCTTTAGCTCACCTAGTAAGACGTCGGACTGAAATGCAGAAGACCTGGGTTTGATTCTGGGTGTGAACAAAATTTATGTAGAGTTTATTTTTTACATTAATGCTATATTTTTTACAGTAAGATGCCCAAATTTTTATTTGAGACTCGCCGAACGGCATTGAATTCACAGATAAAAAAAGTTGTGGGTTCAACTTTCATTTTGGAACAATTTTTCAAGCAAGGGAAGGGAATGATCTGAGCATGCAGGAGGACTGACCCATCATAAACCTTTGTCGGCTGTGCTGCAGAGAAAGGTACAGAACCACATTATTTAATTAATTAGCTGCGCGTTCTCCTGTCCTCTGTCCTCCCCCCCCCCCCCCCCACACACACACACAAGGGATTGTCAGCTGTTATTTTCGTTAAGGAGTGTGCACGTACAGCATGCACGCCTCGTGCACGAGCCTACTATTGAAGCTGCCGTTACGCTTTTGGCCTGAGGGGGCGATCACAAGCATAAAAATTCAAAAGTCCGAAAAGTCCCTTTAAAATCATTATCAGCTGTGGACATCTCTGATCAAAGTTTAACTTTTATGAAATTTGCATTTTAGGAAAATATGAAATCCTTCAGCGAATGATCCTCAATCTTCAGAAGCAGCACGGCGAAAGTATCAAAAGCATTTGGAGTTAGGTGGAAGATGCATTATTTAAAAAAATAGAGCCGGGAGACCTGGGGATGGACTGTCCAACCTCGGGGGCAGAAGCTGCTGAGGTAGTCAAACAACTTCACAGCAGCGGAGCCCCTGGGGCGGATGAGGTTCGTCCTGGGTATCTCAAGGCTATGGATGTTGTAGGGCTGTCATGGTTGACACGTCTCTGCAACATTGCGTGGTCATCGGGGGCAGTTCCTAGGGAGTGGCAGACCGGGGTGGTGGTCCCCATCTTTAAGAAGGGTGACCTGAGGGTGTGTTTCAACTATAGGGGGATCACACTCCTCAGCCTCCCTGGAAAGGTCTACTCCAAGGTACTGGAGAGGAGGGTCCGATCGATAGTTGAATCTCAGATTGAGGAGGAGCAATGTGGTTATCGTCCTGGCCGTGGAACTGTGGACCAGCTCTATACCCTTGCAAGGGTGATGGAGGGGGCATGGGAGTTTGCCCAACCAATCCACATGTGTTTTGTGGATTTGGAGAAGGCTTATGACCGTGTCCCCAGGGGCACCCTGTGGGGGACGCTCCAGGAGTATGGGGTGGGTGGCTTTCTGTTAAGGACCATTCAGTCCCTTTACCAGAGGAGCGTGAGTTTGGTCTGCATAGCCGGTAGTAAGTCGGACCTGTTCCCAGTGAGGGTTGGACTCCGCCAGGGCTGCCCTTTGTCACCGGTTCTGTTCATTACCTTTATGGACAGAATTTCTAGACGCAGCCGTGGTGTGGAGTGTGTCGAGTTTGGTGGCAGGAGAATCTCGTCTCTGTTTTGTGCGGATGATGTGGTCCTCCTAGCTCCATCCAGCTCTGACCTTCAGCTCTTGCTGGGTAGGTTCGCGGCCGAGTGTGAAGCGGCTGGGATGAGGATCAGCACCTCCAAATCTGAGACCATGGTTCTCGACGGGAAAGGGTGGCTTGCCAACTCCGGGTCGGGGGAGAGGTCCTACCTCAAGTGGAGGAGTTTAAGTATCTCGGGGTCTTGTTCACGAGTGAGGGTAGGAGGGATCGGGAGATCGACAGGCGGATGGGTTCGGCGTCTGCAGTGATGCGGACGCTGAGCCGATCTGTCGTGGGGAAGAGGGAGCTGAGCCAGAAAGCCAGGCTCTCGATTTACCGGTCGATCTACGTCCCAATCCTCACCTATGGTCATGAGCTTTGGGTAATGACCGAAAGAACGAGATCGCGGATACAAGCGGCCGAAATGAGTTTCCTCCGTAGGGTGGCCGGGCTCAGCCTTAGAGATAGGGTGAGGAGCTCGGACATTCGGGAGGGACTCGGAGTAGAACCGCTGCTCCTCCGGATCGAAAGAAGCCAATTGAGGTGGTTTGGGCATCTGGTCAGGATGCCTCCTGGGCGCCTCCCAGGGGAGGTGTTTCGGGCATGTCCTGCCGGCAGGAGACCCCCGGGTCGACCCAGGACACGTTGGAGAGGTTACATCTCCAATCTGGTCCGGGAACGCCTTTGGGTCCTGCCGGAGGAGCTGGTGGAGGTGGCCGGGGAGAGGACGGTCTGGAGCTCCCTAGTTGGGATGCTGCCCCCCGTGACCCGGACCCGGATAAGCGGAGGAAGACGACGACGAAGTGAAATGTGATGTTTGATAATCATCCAATGAAATCACACAGCTGGCTTTAGTAAACACTAACTCGTGCTCTCTGATATCACAAAGATCGTATAAGATGATTTTATATTTGTAGATCTCAGGTGTGTTTGTGAAAAATGAGAACCTATGGAGAAAAAGCTTAAGCTTGTTTTTTTGTTTGTTTTTAATTCTCAGCACAAACAAGCTCACTGTCAAATATAATCTTAGGACTGTGGCTGAATATAATTGGAAGAAAATTTCAGAATAATATTTGCAGTGAGGAGCAGTTTGATTCAGTTCAAAGCTTTATTCATAAAGCGCCTTCCATCAGGGAGCCCAAGGTGCTGTACACAGTACATAAGAAACGTAAATCACAATGAATAAGTAGATCATTTATTTATTAATAGAGCAACTACCAGAGAGTGAATTAACTGGGAAAAAGCAGACCTCCGGGGTTTAGTGTCTCTCCTGTTAATTAATGGGTCATTCCCATCTGTACCTGGTCGGCCCGGCCCGGATAGCTCCAGTCGGCCCCAGCCTGGCCCGGTTGATTCCACACATCCTTGCTTAGGTATGCGAGGAATGCAGTCAAGAGACATTTTCAGCTTCTAGGTAATCAGCACGATAATGAATGATGATGAATTGAGCATGCCTTAGATGCATGCTTTAGATCATGAACACAGCTGATTTGTTTGATTTAGTGATAAATCGCTCCTGTAGACTCTAATGAAGGCTGAGGAGACATCAGCTGTTAGATTAAAATGTTAAAAGAGGAACACACTGCGAGGAGATAAATTTCACTTTTGGTTTTACTAACGGACACTAAGGGGCGCTGAAAGCAAGGCAAGCTAATAAAGTAACCCTTTAATGGGTCAAGTTTACCATCATGACAGCTCTGAGGGGCCGACCCGTTTAGATGTGGTTGAAGCTTGGAGGCTTTAAGACCGCAGGGTCTCGGGAAGTAGAGCGGGTTGTGATCGGATGATTGATTCCAGCTCCTGCTAGGGTT